AAGTTGCTTGCATGTAAATGGCACTGATTACCACGTTGCACTTTGCATTTGCCCTTTCTTAAACCCATACCCATGTGTAGGTACCCTGCAGCCAAAGGGCAGACTAAATTATTCAATATGAATCGAACAGAACAAGTATCAGACCCCACACGACCTCTCAGTGCCCTGCACTCACAAGAATAGAAGTTATGCTCTTCACCATGCATGATCATTAACATTCATTTCAAGCAGCCTAATTGCCACTCTCAAGCTCCGTTCTCTTACTTAGATTACGGTAAATGCTCTCTTTAATAACAATGCAAGCCTGCGAGTGCAAGAGAGCTGCCTGAAGCATACGATCGATTAAACCTGACGTGTGAAGAGACAGTGCGGAATTTATTGGTGCTTTATACTCTTTCTCTCTTACGATAGTAGCTATGTTATGATTATTGCGAGTTATTGTGGACTCAGTGTATTAACTAGTCAACTATGAACTATTGCGGAATTCATTTGTACTTTACTTGCGGTACACCATTTCACTCTTACGATAGAAGCTACATATGTTATTATTATTGCGAGTTATTGTGGGCCCAGTGTATTAACTAGTCGACTTGATGCATTAATTTGCATTTCTGCTTATTTTTCTTCGCATTTTCTTGTGCACTCATTTGATTTGGTTACATTTTGTGTGCCTTGCTATTTTCCCTTCAGCTAGAAGAACTAACCTAATGCAAATCGCTTTTTATTACTGCACTTTTTCTTTCGTTATTTCCTTCTTGCAGTCGCCTCCCCTCTCCATTCGCACTTGACGTATTTATGTCTGTGTGTGTGTGTGTGTTGTCTACTTGTGGGTTTTTAGCGCAGGGTCAGCGTCATAAAATTTAACTGCAAAAACGGGCATTTGCTGCAATTTAGGTGGAAATGAGCGACGATTTGCCATTTGGTGTGTTGTTGTTTGCTTTTAGTTTTGTTTTTCTGCTGCAATTTATGAGCTTGCAACAAATTTGTAATGTCCATAATGGCGCGCTCTAAAAAAGCAGAGCGCGACCAGCGAACAGTGAGCCAGCGAGCACTGCTTAAATTATTATGACCAGTTATGTCAGCAGAACGAGCTGGTAGTTTGGTTCCTTGTTGCTTAAATGGGCACTAAAGATCTCAAACTGATATCATTAAGCAGGGCGGAGGGAAGAGTTGCGTTTTAAGAGCGCTTGACTCCCTGGTGTGAAATTAATATTTACAGAAGCGTACAATTTCAGGTTTCTGAGTAAATAACAGAAGTGTGGCAATAAAGTAAAACTATTCTTTATTGGAATTAATTTTAGCGCCCTAAATTAGGTTTATCTTTTAAAGGAAGCAAAGCCATCACTTAAATATAAGCATTTTATCTTATTTAACAATTACAGAAGAGCAGCCCCATCAACATTTTTGTAGACAGCCAGGTGGATATAAAAACCTTACAGATTCAAAAAATGTCCTAGAGAGCAGAGAGACAGGCTAAGCGACGAGAGGCAGATCCACATCTGCCATTATATATTATATTCTTATATTGAACTGTTTGTTGAAAAGTATAAGAGCTAGGGTCACATTTTTTAGAGGTTATTTATCCATGTGCAAAGTTTTGAACTCGAAAGGAGCTGAAAGCCGAAAATATAGCATGATCCCATGAAGAATTGAAGAAGATGAATTTCGGAGTTCGACAATTTAATGATTGGGTGCTGAAGAATACTGGAAGTCAGCATCGTTGCGCATTCAAATCTACAAATCCTTATCAATTCTCAATTCCCCGAATTCTTGCACCATTTCAAGACATTGCCAAAATCCAAAGCACACGCACTGTTAAGCTCAGACACACACACACATTCTGGAATACAAGCACTTGGGAAACTACAAAGCTGCTGCTGCTTATGCCGCTTACGCAACCAAAAACCAATCTAATGTTGCCGCCAAAAGTATCCAACACTTTGTGACAGACAAGCTGATTGTGTGGGATGGAAAGGGGCAGCAGGATGGCAGGCAGGCAGGAAACAAAACTCGGCAACTCACTCAAGCATTTTATTAAATTGCCACCTTCCGTTTGTTGTTACGTTCCCGAAGCTGCTGCGCCAGACTGTCTCTTATTTTCGATTTTGTAGAGGCTTGCCCCCGCCCGAATACCGCACACAACCAACACCAACACCAACAGCACCAGCACCCACTCAATACAAACGATATAAAAATATTTCTGCCATCTTTTTCTATTATATCGTTTCCGCTCTTGGCATAAATTGTACACACAGTGTTCTCTTATTTTTTGTTTCGTTTTCCTTTTGGTTTTTCCTGCCCGTTTGTGGCAAAGAAAACTTTTCCTATTTTTATGCTTATTGCCTTATTTTTTGTTGTATTTGGCGCCGTGTGTTTCAGTTTCTCATCATGCACATATCTGTCCCGTTGTTTTTGAGGTTAAAGTGCCAAGACACGAAACCAAAAGCTGTGCATTGCATTTTCTGTTGCACAAACCGTATAGGAAAAGCGGAAGGAGACGAAGAAGGAGAAGAAGGGGAGGAGGAAGAGCTCACAAAGGCTTTGTGTTGGTGTTTTCATTTTTTATTTAGCTTTGCTGTTGATATTGAAATGCGATTGCTGACTGCATTTTTTATAATGCGGCAAATGTTGTTTTGGAGTCAGTCCAAGGCTTAGATTTCCCTCCCCGGCGAAAAGCATTTGCATTGCATAATTTCAGGCGCAATGCCGCTTGTTGGGGCGTTACGTTGGAGGCGTGTAGCAACAACTTTTCAGGCTTATCTAAAATTGAAATTCGAAGTAAAAATTGTTGGATGCGGCATTGTGGGAGCTTTGGGGCGTTTCCAAAGAGGTACACAGGTACTAAGTTTTGAAAACAAAATGCGAAAGTTTACGGAAAAACCTCACAATCTATTTGCACCATCCAATCAATGCGACTATATTAAGTATAAACAACTGTTTTAAACGTTTCAGATGAGATGAATGGCATTACTAATCAGTACTTTAATAATTGTAATTAATAACTGTGTCTGAACCAAAGCTCATTGTGCTGCGACAATAAGTTGCTTAGTAACGCTTTATCCGCATCTATTATTTTGCACACAAAGCAAATTATTTCATTAGCCAAATTAGTTGCCCTCACTGCGAGGCCAATGCAGTGCCAAATTATTAAGCATACGCCATGTTGTACAAGCTTAATTACACGCACAACAGCAGCCGGATGTCAAAAAAGTTTTCCTTTTTTTTTTTTTGAGAAAGTCAAAGACCTTCCCACCAGTCCGCAGCAGCTTTTCTGCTAAGACTGCATTAAAAGCCACGACCCACTGCACTTGTTAAAAATAAACCGCCGCTAGAGGTCGCCAATTAAATATGGCTACAGTGCCAGCCACAGAGCTGTGTGCATGCATATGTATGTGTGCATGCATATGTATGTGTGGGTGGATGTGTGTGTGTGTGAGCGGAAGTCAACATTTTTGTGGTCACTTAAGCAGATTAATATCATGGGTATAATTAAAAGAAGCAGCCACACGCACGCATCACGGCTGGTAGTGGTGGGTGGCATGGCGCAGTAAATGGAAGAAGGAAGAAAACTGAAGGCTGGGCGCCTCGCTCGCTCGCTCACTCGCTGGCAAAAAGTCAGCTGCACAAATTAACATAAATTAAAATTTTCGCAAACTTTTTCGTAAGCGATGCGCGCAGCAGGAAATTTTCAGCAACGCTTTTGCTGACGACGTTGCTGTTAAACAATTTTTCGACAGGCGATTGCATGCAGCTGGCAGAAGCTGCACATAATTGATGGTTTTTAATTAACTGCAAAGTGACCGACAAGGCCGGCAATAACAACAACAACAGCACTAGCAGCAGCAGCAGAAGCAGGAGAAAGAAAAAACCAAAAATGCAGCAGCAAAAAAGGAAAAAAAAATGGAAATATATAAAAAGGAAACATTATTGCAAAATTGTTTTAAATGTTCCAACATGCTCTGATCATGTTGTTCCGTTTGCTGTTGTTGTAATAGTTGTTGCTGTTGTTTTTGTGGTTGTTGTTGCTGCTGGTACGGCCGGTGTGCTGTTCATTTGCTGCACAAAAACTATGCAGCATGCTTTTAGGCGGCCACTATTTTCGCACGCAATTTAGCGGTTCTCTCACTCGCTCAGTGAATGACTGACCGACTGTTTGCTCGAATTAGTTATGTGTGCGTGAGTCTCTGTGGCAGTCGCCAACTATTTTCGTGAATTTTAGGAACGAGAAAAGGTGGTAAAAGAAGTGAGTTTTTGTGACAGATTGTGCAATAAATAAATTCTTATTTTGAGGAATGTGAATAATTGAACGACGATGAATATCACAATAAGTCACGACATAAAAAGCAATTTTGTTATCAACTGTAAGTCACGCATTAGAATTACTTAAATGAATGATTTTTTTGTTGACAGCTGGTGCAAAAAACAATTGCTTGTACTTCAGAAACGTGAAAAAGTGTTAAAATCACAAATCGTTTAAGTCGTGAGAAAACCACCTCTCTTACACAAAAGACCATCTCAATAAAGGAATCTATATACCTTCTAAATCGTGGCAAAGTCAACACGACATCACAATAAGTCACAAAGTCAATAAATATTGTCACAAGCGTGAGATGTTTCACAAGCCGTGTTTTTCCGGAATGTGAAAAAGACTCAAACTTTTGAATTCAAATACATTTTAAGAGACATTTTTTAAATTTCCAATTACTGTTATATATTTCATAATCTCATCGCAAGCACGCACATCTCCAGCATGTAGTATATGTTGCGAATGTGTGTCTGTCTAACAAATTGTTTGTTAGCATTGTCAGAAATACACGAACTAGCTGCATTTTCAAAATCTCTGCGAATTTTGCGCTTCGCTGACCACTTTGTCGAATTGTTGGCGGTTTTAAATATTTGCTAGTCTGCTTTTGGGTGGCATAAGCTGCGCTTTTGTGTGTACGCACACACACACACACGCTTATACTATTGGTTTAAAAGGTTTGTACTGTGGCACTTACCATTGCGATTCTCACTATCGGCGGGTTTCATTTGTATGGGATGGTACATCTGTATAAAAAAAAAAGGAGAAAAATTAGAAATTTTAATCATGTCATGTCTGGCTAATCATTATTCTTATCTTTAATTTAATAGTGATGTTAGATCTCGCTGTCTTTCTATATGTATCTATCGTATCTATCGATTTTGCTTCATTTTTATTATCATGAGCTTAATTCAAAAACTAAAACAAATTCGTGGTGTACTGCGATTAGGAGAGTCTGCATGTCAAGTTTTGTGGTTGTGGGTCAAATCGTTTTCATAATACAGAAGTTCATACAGACGGACAAACCTCAACTTCTGCTTCTTTTTGATAACAAATGTTTAAAGCCTTATCTATTTATATTTATTAGGCATCTTACTTTTCGTTATTAATCTTACATTTTTGAAGCATTTATTCATCCAATATCACAACATTGTTTTGTTTCAAGTCATTTCAATAAATTAGCCGAATGCCCAACTTTTTATATATTTGCTTAGCAAAATAGAGAATGCGATTTCTTTATACTTGTAAGTTGAGCAAATTTGTTGAAAGTCTTGAAAAAAACTGCCTTTACCGTAATATGACACTTTTATATTAGATTAAATACCCTTCCTTAAAAAGTAATTTTACAAATTTGCTTCCCTTCTGCAGCCAACAACATTTACATTACATTCGTGGACCTCTGTTAAGGCATATCCTTCCCTGCCAAATTTGTAGCATACGCGTTTCAAATCCTACCTTAATTGGGCGTGTAAACAACAAATGATTGGACTTAGTTACACTTTTTTTTGTCTCTTCTCATACTGCGGCAATTTGTTGCGCAACTACTATTAGCGACTTCGTGTGTATTTGGGGCTCGTCGGAACTTCATTTTCAGTTTTAATCACTTTTGAAATATTACACGACGATTAATTTGCAGCTTTGACGCAGCGAGAAACAAAAAATGCTGACTTTGCATTTTGTGTGCATAAAATATACATACTCGTATAAAAGGCTTGGGGCTGCCATCGCGTAGTTGCTGTCCTTATTGCTCGCTGTTGACCCTTTTTTGGTGGCGTCCATTACGGGGCTTAAGCTGCATAATGAATGAATGCAGGCAGGCCAGCAGTCAGGCAGGCAGCCCCAAAATTTTCAGTTCGCGTTACATCGCGTTACATATAGCACAAAAGCCAAACACATTTATTCAGCAGGCGTTGTTAAGAATGCAACATTTACACAACGCCAGGGCCAGGACGACGCAAGGATGTTGCGGGTAAGGAAGTGAATGGCAAGCAAAGCCACCGAATAAGGCTTGCTTATGAAAATCCTAAAATATGCGTTCGCGCATTGCTTGCCATTTCTCTCTCGCTCTCTCTCCCCCTCCCCTCTCTCTCTCGCTCTCTTGCTAACGTCTTCTAATTAAAACAAGCTTAAAGCGCCACAAAGCGTGCGCCGCAGCAGCAGGACGAGGTCAAAAACATCGAGCCCCACTTTTGTTGCTGGCCAGGCCAACATACACACAGCTAATGGCGCGTGATTTATTGGCGACGACGGAAATGTACGTTATAAGGCCATGTCCTGGTCGTCCTTGTAGTCGACGGGCGAACGAACGAACGAGCGAGCTGCTTTTGCCTCCTCTCGTAAATAATACACGCCAGGTGACTTTTTACAAATTGCATTCAACCTCACTTCCTTTCTTTCGCATTCTCAACCATCTCTCTCCTTTGAGACGCGCTCTCCCCCCTCCGACCCACCAATTCATTGTGCATATATATTTATAGCACAGGAAGTAGCAATTACCAAGTCAAAAGCAGGCACTGCGGCGAACTACTGCGTCCACCCGCTCAATTAATTGCTTGAAATATGGCCGGCAGAATGGTTTTATTATACATATAGTACTATATATATCGGCCAATTATCGTTTATTGCTGCCTAAGCAAGCAAATGGCCCATAAATGAAGTGCCTTTTCGCATTGATTTAGACGACTACCTCACTTTTTTTCAAACGTATAAAAAGATTTTAAAACCACTTGAGTTTTAAACTTTGCATTTAAAAGTGTATGGTTTTAGAATTTGAACAAAAGGATATTGAAAAATAAAAATATAATAGTGCTGTTGAGTAAAATAAACTTACTACTATTACTATATATTGTAGACATTATTAATTGTACCATTTGGAAAGCTACTTTAGACACCAAACATAATTTAAGTTTGTATATCAGGTATGGCCTTAAAAAGCTTATTCCACAGATTACAACATTATCCATAATTTCGGTAATAATATTGAGGTAAAGATTTGTTAATCCACATCAAATCCAACTAAACTCGAAGAAACAGCTCAAAAATCGTAGCAAAGAGACTAGAGGGGGAAAATCGCTAATAAAACTGAAGAACCATCGACAACAGCACACATTTTATCTTCTTCAGTAATAAAAGGAATTTGTTTTTGGAATTTTTTAGAATTGTTTAAGTCTCTAAGTTATAGGCAGCTTTTGGCTAAGTTCAAGGCACGATATATGATTTAACATCTCTTGACTTCTACATATGTGGGTCGAGGGCTAGGGTTGCCACAATATTTTGCTGCTGCAGCAAAAAAAAAAGAGCAGCCAGCATAAACTTATCATAAAGTTAATCAGGCAACGCGACAACGCCATCAGAGCCCTGTGTGTTGCTGTTTCAATTATGGCTAACTGACTGCGTGACTGACAGATTGTCGGACTGACTGACTGACGGACGGGGCATGACACAGCAAAATATTGTCTGCTGGGCGATTTTCTTCCTTATTTTTCCCAATATAGTTTTTCCTGCTTCCTGTTCTTCGTTTTTATCTCGCGGCATAAAATGCAAGTAATTTCAAAGTTTAGCCGCGCTCTGAATTTTTTTTTTTTTTTTTTTTTTGAGTCACAGGACACGTTTCCCAAAACCGCAGGCACAAAAATGTCAATTTGCACTCAAAGAGCACAAGAAATAAAATTTCAAAAAGGAATGCTTTTTGTTTTGTCAGACCAGGCAAGTGCAAGAACAACGCAGTAGCAATATTCCTAAAACAGTGAAGCTTGTGTTAAAAAGAAAATGGAAAACAACTACAAGAAAATACATATTATTAAGGACATAATTGATTAAATGAAATGATGATATTTATCAGGCATATTTACTATTACACAATAGATGATATAACAACTAAAGAATAATTGTAACTCGTATAGCTAGAATTCAATAATTCAATAAATTTAGTAAAAAGCAAGGAAATTTGAAGATAATTATATAACTATTTTTAGAAGAGAAAGAGACTCTAGCATCTTCATAAAATAAAATTCATTCGAAAGCTGAAACCGTCTAGGAATTCTATCAAAATTATCGAGAAATTATCGAAAATAAGTTTATAGAAGGGATAGAGATTATATCCTTAAATGAAAACCGAAGTTACGGTCAAACACGCAAATAATTTGCATGTAAGCTGGTTAAAATTCCAAGTAGAATAAGAAAACTTTGCCTAAACTAAATGCAAACTATTTAGCTGCCTATGCTTTTTCTGCATTCCCCAACCAACAACAAGAGAGAACGCTTCAGTCGAGCAAGCCCGACAGTGTAATACCCTGTACCCAAGTAAACTTCCGTCACTGAGTTATATGTGCCCATAGCAGCAGCAAAAAGAGGAAGAAGAAGAGCGAACTTGTTGCTGCAGTTTGTGGGGGTTGTACTGTAGAGAATTTGTTTCGCTAATAACTTTTCTCAGAATTGACCGAATTGGATAACATTTTAAACAACAGTAGACAATTATACATAAATTATGTGTGCAAAGTTTGGTTGAGGTAGCATTTGAAATGTGGACGCTATTGACGAAATTCTGTAGCGGGGGAAGGGGGGGGAAATTAAAAAAAAAAAAATAAACTCGTCCTTACTCGGACCTAGGAGAATCTGGATGCCAACTTCGGTTATTCTAGCTTTTATAGTTTCTGAGATCCTCGCGTTCATCCAGACGGACAGACTGACGGACAGACGGACGGACAGACGGACGGACATGTCTAGATCGATTTCTCTCGTCATACTGATTCAGAATATATATACTTTATGGGGTCGGAGATGCTTCCTTCTGCATGTTACATACTTTGCACAAACCTAATATACCCTTTTTACCCTACGGGGTATAAAAATATGTGTTAATGTCGAAAAATGCAGATAGATAAGGTATTAACCATGAACAGAAGCTCCACTGTACTGAGTCTGCTTTGGCTCTCTCTCTCTCTCTCTCTCTCTCTCTCTGTATCTCTCTCTCACAACCTCAGGCCCAATTGAAGCAGAGCACGTAAAGAGCAGAAGTGAAGAGAAAACGCGCTTGTCAGCAAAAAAAAAAAAGCTAAGCAAGCAGCAACGACATTTCTTGCGGCACCAAAGCATTATGAATATTATTCGAATGTGTGTCTGGGGGCTGGGGGGAGAGGATAGTGCGTGAGTGAGGTGGCAACTCTGTGCATGCCATGACAATGCTTATGTCATCACGTTATCAGCGTCAACATCTCGCATCCAGCCAAAAGAAACGCTTGCATGTGGACTCGACTGGTTTCGACTCGTTTCGACTCGACTCGACCGATTCGACCGACTCTCTGACATAATTTGCATGTCGTGCAGCTGATATTTATTTTAAAAATTGCTATTGAAGGCTTTTTTACACTCCATGCAACCGCAACAACAACACTGACAGCATATTTTTTATTGTGTCTGCATTTTGGGGCAGCACTGCTGTTGTGGGTTCGTGCGTGCTGCGTGCAACGTTTGCATTTTGTTGACTGCTTGACAGCATGACTTTGCAAATTTCTTTTGTCAGCGGTAAATGCTGGAAACGTTCTGACAGTTCAGTGTGCAGTAAATATCGTTTGCATGAGAGATATGCACAATATATACAAATGTACTTGTATATGCAAAATATATAATTCTATTACAATTTATCAACAAGTTTAGTTTGTTTGCGATATACTTTTGCACAATTTGCTGGCAATTCATAGAAAATATGTATAATATATTAATATACTGTTGAATTAAAGTATTGCCTAACGGTTCTACATCTGTGGAACTTTTAATCTAAGCTTGAATTGTTTTATACACTATTCACACCAATCCATATTTTATTTGTTTATTTCCTAACGTTGTCCTTCAAATAAAATTATTCCAATTTTGTATATTGCAGGCGTCTCTTTTAAAAATAAGCCTTTAAAAATATTATAATTCATTTTATGGGCAGATAGAAAAACTAACAAATAGACAGCTAGAATAGATATATAAGAATTTAGATTGGCAGATAGTTAGACTAACAAATATACAGATAATAACAAACTTTTCATTGTTATCATATCTTTAAAATCTTTGGCAGGAAGAAGTCATATTTTCTTTCTACTTACAATGATTTTTCGCAGCACACCGTATTTTTCGATGAAGTTATAAAGTACTAATCCGACCCATTAATGAATAAACGAAAAAAACGAACTTTTTTGTTGTGAACTTTTAAAGATATTTGATCAATATTCCTATTCCTGTTTCCTTTCTCTTCCTAGAGTAAAAAAAAAATCCTTCGAATAACCATTAACTGTTAAAAAAAAAAAACACTTTTCAATATCAACTTTTGATCAACAAGGCATGTCTTAGAATGCCCCAAAGTTCCCTGAAAAGTTTGAGCGGTTCGTTGGAAACAGTGAAACGTACAGACAGAAGGACAACAACCGAACTGGCTAAGTGGATTAATCTGCTTGAGATATCCTACACAATTTCTTCTATTATGTCAGAATCGTTCAACCCAAAAATGACAGTTAGCTCCACTTCAAGTGAAGGCTTTGCAAAAATGTAAGCCTCTCTTACCAAAGACAATGTCACAAATGATGTTAAATTATTAGCATTTGAAACGTTAAATAAATAATAAATAAATATACTACTTTTATATGTACAAGTATATAGCTGGCTACTTACCCCATTCAGCGTTTTCACATTATGCAGAGCGTCCTGGGCTTTTAAGGCAGCGCGGCGCGTGTAAAACGTCACAAAACAGCAACCTGCGGCAGTAAAGAAAGAGGAAGAAAGGAGGGAAAAAGAGAGATTAGCATAAGGGTTAAATTGGAGTTTATTTTCATAAAGGCGGCGGCGGCGGCGGCGGCGGCAGCAGGAAAGGTGGCAAAGAAATTATGAAAATTATTATTATTAGAAGGCAGGCACAGGCAAAAAATTGTGCGGGTGAGGATTTGGTTTTGGGGACGCCACAGTTACAGTTAGGTGTTCGCAGACGGCGTCGACGGCCTTTCGAGGGCGACGTGCCAACACGGTAGCGGCACTAAATTAAGTATTATGGGCGCCCAAACGCCCACCCACCCACAAATGTGTCGCGTATTTTAGAAGAGAAGGCGAGGAGGGTTCAGGTGTGGCGGGATCCGGGCAAATGGGGTTCGGGGTGCGAGGTGGTAAGCTTTAGTCCTCTGCCTTAAGGGTTGCGCACACAGTGTTGGCGTTGAAATTTATTAAAGGTTGCCGCGTAAGCATATTATTAAGGAGCAAAGCGGAGAACTGCCGCTGAATTAGCAACCGAGAATAATATTGTAAGTACGAGTATGCGACTGTGCATATAACACTGGAAAGACAGGAAAACTGGCAGCGATCGATAGGCGGTAAGTGCCAGAGATTTGTGAACGCATTACTGTTTATACTCTGTACCTAATGGGTAGAAGGGTAGACTAGTTTTGTACGAAAAGCCTGGCAGACCCTATATTTTTGATCAGCATGACAAGACTAGTCGATTTAGCGCTGCCTGTATGTCTGTCCGTCTGTTTGACCGTATGAACACCCGAATCTCAGAGACTGTAAGGTGTAGAGACACCAAAATTTGTACACAGATGCCTTTTGTGTGAATGAATTACGAGTTTGTTTAATTTTTTATTTATCTCTATTTATATTTCTATATCTATTCTATATTTATCTTTATATTCCGTAACTCCGTTCGGTTTATGTTTTCTAATGAAATGGAATTTCGGTTGTTGTAAATGATTGCGAAACTTTTCGAAGGCAATTGAAATTAAGAACCGTTTACTTGTAGTGCTCGTTTTTTAGATTTTCTGCTGATGTCAGGTTTGAAGTCAACAAAAAGAGAAAAACATTTGGACAAGATTTCTTCTTTGAATTAAATAATAACGTATGTATATGATTGTTTTAAATTATTTCACAACTTTACTAGAGCAAGTGAAGCTGACCAGATGTAACTTTAATCTCATTTCCATCTACACATCTTTTCAAATTACGAAAACCTTTAAATGTTGGTATTAAGTTCCCTTTAAGCCGCCTCACACCATTACGTGTGAGTGTGTGTCTTGTCTTTTTGTGTACTTTGCCAAACACATGGCATTTTATTTCAATTTGCGTGCAAAAAGTGTGCACTCTTTTATTTTAGTGTGACCAAAGCGCCAAAAATCTGTGGCCAGCGCTTTAAAAACGCAAACAAACCCACGAACGAGCACAAACACTCACACACACATGCCATGGTAGCTACAAAAAGGCAGGAGTAAAACGTTAACGTGGACCAAAGCCTATTTCCGGTGCTGCTTTTTCATTTTTGCATATGAGTTGGCCACATTCCTTCCCTACCCTCCTGGCTCGCCCACCCCCTACGAACTCTAACTGTGAGCACCAAACTTAATATGGCAATAGTTGGATAATGCAATTACCGGCCGTATCGGCGAAATTTTGGTAGGCAAACGCATTCAGGCGCGGAAACGCAGCCAGACACACACGCACATCTACACTATATATACATATATACATATGTATGTATATATATGTATACTATATATAAACACAGGTGGATAGGTAATTCAATCTGTCGCAGCTTTTTTGCCGCCATCGCCACCACACAGCGATGGCATTTTTCAGCATTTTCACATATTTGAACAAATATTTTTATTTCTCGTTTTTGGTTTTGGGTTTTGATATCCGGACGAACATGTTAGTTGACGACGCCGTTGCCGTCCGTCGCTGCCACAACGGATGCGGGTGTGTGTGTGTGAGTTATGGTTCTGTCTGCCAACAAGAAAAAGTGGTTCGTATTTGGAAAATATGTTGAAAACGCTTTAAGTCCAAAACATAGCATTTCACTTAAAAAGCAACAACTGAAGAAAGAACAAAACAAAAATAAATAATAATGAGAACAGCAGAACAACTCCCACAAAGCGCAGATTAAATATCACTTAAAATTAAACTTCAGATAAATGAAACAAATGAAAGAAAATCGAAACCAGTAGAAATGCAATAAAATACGAGAAGAAACGATAGCAACAGCGCCAAAAGGAAGCAAACCGACGAATCCTTAGTGCACACGATAACGAAGAAGGCGGCAAGGAATGAAGGAGCGTAAAGGGATTTCCAACGAGCAGTGTTGGGTAAAAATCTCAATTCCCATTATGTGCATGTCAACTGCAGTTAGAATCAACAAATCCAGTGGTGTTGTTCCAGGATCCAAACAAGGAAGAAGGAATGGAGGGAAAAGGACAAAGCCGGAGTGGGAGAAACTCGAACAAAGTAACAAAACGAAGTGCCAGCTTCGATTACATTGACCATTGAATACCCTAGAAATGAGCTGTTTATTGAAGGAAATGTACAACAATAGTCAGAAAATGTTATGGACATTTTAAATTTGCTTTTTATCCGACAGTATGCTCCATAGCGTATAAGAAAGGGTTTACAAAAAATGATTTCATTTAGTAACTAAATCAGTTGGATTTAAAAACTCCATATATATGAGTAGGCGCAGTAGTCGGCTGATAAATCGACTCATGATTTTTATTGCCCTTTAGAGCGAAAAGCGTTAAACAAGAAGTTGTTTTCATTTGGAACCTTTTGTCGACTTATTCCACATTTATAGCATGATCGAAATAATGCATCAAATGATTAAAGCTATTCAAAAGACTTGAATTTTAATCTTGTTAAATGCTGATCGTATGCAAAATAAAACTTTTAATTGCAACTTTTCTGAATATATGAAGGAAACTGAAATAGGAAAACAGAATTCATGAATTTAAATGTTAAAAAACAAATAAGGGCATCCCGTCCTTACGATCTCTCAACAATAACTGAATAATATCACAAAATAATATTGTAAAATTCTTAATTTTAATTTGACAAGAGCTAAACAAATTTTTGAACAAACGGAATCGGGCGACACAAGTTAAGCAGCTCATTCGATAGCCCCTGTTGTAAAGGGTGTAAGAACAACAATAACAATAACGACATCGATGCTGGCCAAGCTTAAAACGACACCCAGTCACGTTTTTGGACAAAAACTTAATCCCGGCGTTAGCAGCAACGAGACTGAAGGCAGGACGACACCCGCTCGCTCAGTTGCTTGAACCACCACGCCAGATGAAATCGAGAGGCCAGACAAGACGTGCCAAAGTCCGGCAGGCTAAAGAGAAGAAGTACAGGCAGAAGCAGAAGGGAAAAAGGATGTACGGGCGGCAGGCAGGCACACGTAGCCAGGAAACGAATTAATCGAAGTAAAATAAATCAATGTCCTTAAACTTTGGCGCAGAGATTTACAAGCTTTGACTGAACCAAGCAGCACAACTACAACACCAATAACAATAACAACTAGACTATAACTAGAACAAACAGGGCTGCAATCGAATTTAGTTTATGGCCCCAAAAGAGCAACAACAAAAAACATAAGAATAGCAAGTCCTGGCATTTCCATAGATAAGACAAAATACCTCCCCTCCCTCTGCGAATAACTATCGGTTTGTGGGTGTGTGTGTTTGTGTGTGTGACAAACGCTTTGTAGTTCAGTGGCGTTAAAAGTCATGACCATGACCAAACCAAAGCAAACCAAGCCAAAAACGGGCTAACTCCAACCTACCAGCCCACTGCCTGCCTGTGGTTGGGCAATCTTTGAAATTGAAATGCTTTTGAAAATTAAGTGAAATTTTATGCATTTTTCACGCTCCATGCAGCTAAATAAAAATGTCAGCCCGGCAAAGTGTGTGTGTGAGAGACAGAGTCCGAGGCAGCTTCGCGAGTAGTCGGCTCTGATGAAGGCAGCAGATAAGTGCGTTACTTTTTCTTTCGGATCGGACGTACGGACGGACGATTGGACGGCCGACATCTGGCCAAGAGAGCTTTTCAAAAAATGAGCTGAAGAGAAGGATGAAGCAGCAGCTGTTTGCTGTGGGTGTGAATTTATTTTATTTTCCGTTTCTTCCCTCATTTTTTTTTTTGGTCACATCGCAAGTTAGTTTTTTTCTGCTCCCAAATAGTATAGAGCAGTGGTGGTGGGTGGCAGCGCTCATAAATCACAGAAACGCTTGAAGCTGTTAGTTGTTCTTGGCTAGGATTGCCGAGGTGGGTGGCTGAGTGGGTGGTGAGCTGCTTAGCAAGGCAGAGAGTTAATGGCTTAAAGTTGCAATTGACACATAAAGGCTAAAAGAAAGTTGCTGTGACAATGAAATTATTAAACGAAGGAGTTGTCATTAAATTAATGGCAGACCATTGAGTGGAAATTGAAATTTAATTGAATAGCATTTTCGAAAGTAATGGAATTATTCGAAAATCGGGAAATGAGGGAAATGACGATCGCATATGAGAGGGGTTGAAGGAGAGTTAGAATGGACAAAAATGAACGTTAAATATTAGTTAATTCTATGCTCTGCGGTCTTATTCATTTTTCGGTTCTTTTCCTTGAACCTTAATGCAAAATATCGCATGTCAATTAAGGCTTTACTCGTTAATAATTTATTTTCTACGCCATAACCATTTATCTCCGCCTAAAACTTAAGACCAATTTCTCGTTAAATGCAAAGAAAATGGCGCCAATTCCCAATAGGCTGTCAAGGTTTAGAGCGAAAACAAATTAAGCGGCGCCTCATTAAACCTAAACGCCAACTCTTTACACCTGGCAACCACTGAAGAAACCGTAACATATCCGCTATCCGCTATCCCCAGCATCTACGCCATCCACCCTGAAGACAAACGCTCATAAATTATGACCGAAACGCTTAACCTTGCCGCATCTGACACCCGATGCCCAGCTGCCTGCAACAACAACAAGAACAACAACAACGATGACTATGGCAACGAGTGACTACAGCAGTAACCACAACGACACCTCCACAGAGAAAATCCACTTCAAAGTTACTGCCAGCGTCTAAAATATATAGTATTTAAGGCAGTAGGGAGTGGTAGGAAGCCTTCTAGGAGGTTGTTGGCTAACGAAATTTAGTTGCGAAAGAGAAGCAAGTTGCCAAACAAATATGAACAAAAAATTGAAAATTTATATTTGTTTGTGTGTCTGTGAAAAGGAAAACTTGCAAACGAAAAGGAAATTTTCCATTATTTACGACTTTCTGGTTCAGAGGTCAGCGGCGCACTTAAAAGTGTCATTTTACATTTTGTGGACAAACCAGTCCGCAAAAAAAAGGATCATAAAAAACTGCAGCAACGCCAGTATTTCTATTGATATACGCTTTTTGAGGCCCTTGGTAAGCGTTTTACCATTAAAATGCAATACACACACACACACACACTGAGATACACAACTAAAATCGCTAGAAATGTAACTCTTCTCTTCTTCTTTTTTAGTTTCTATTTTTTGCAAACTTTGTAGCCAAAGCTAGTGGCCGCCAAACTGGGTTACTCGCTAAATGAAAACGTTGAATGTACAAAGGGGCGCAGGAAGTGTTTGGCTTCCATTTAAAAATGTATAGTGTACATACATATGTGTGAAAGGAAACTAGAAACTTGTTTGTTTGGCAGAAAAAACAACATTTTTTCCTTTTGGCCCAAACAACTTTTTTGGGTCAACATATACGCCTACTTTTTTATGCTCACACTAAATACTGGCATAAATAATAACTTTACAATGCGATTTGTGTCGATTTGTGTGTGTGCGTGTGTGTATTTCGGGCTTTTTCTTTAGCCAACGCAGAGACAAACTTATACATGTGCTGGCGACACTCTAAAGAGTGTGTTTGTTGGCCGCTGGCTGCTGACTGTCATAAATCATCGACACAACACACTTAAGTGCTTCTAAAACTGTTTGCGCTTTTACGCTCACCCCAACAACACAACATGCTCTCAAGTTTTGCGCTGACCGACCGACCGACCGACCGACGAGCAACGCCATAAACACACACGCCCCCTTTTAGCAGGCGCTGTCAAATGCAGCCGCCCGTTTCCAGCTGGGTTTTTCGAGTGGACAATGGACAATGGCAGAGGCAAAAGGAAAATTTGAACTACAATTCCATAAATGACAATGGTCGTCGAAAGCAATGAAATGAAAATATATATATCGAGGTTGAATATAAAAACGACAATATGAATGCATAGGCTGCTGGCAATTTAGAGATATGAGCAATATTTATGAACATCGTTTTAAGAAGACATTAATAAAGGTGACTGATTTTCACAATATTTATCATGTACTGCAAATTTGAAAATCAAAACCCGATTTACTACTAGCACTATTATTGCGCATCTCTAATATTTACTTCTATGATGGAGCATCGTCAATACAAAGCAGCAGCAGCTGAAACGATGCAGCTGAAAAAATAAAAAGTGGGCTCAAGAGTGTGGCCGTCAATAGAAGAGCAGAGCGTACTCATAAATCTGTTAATGACAACTCTCTTTAACGCGTCACCTTCTTTCTGTATAACAACAACAACAGTCGCAAACAATGTCTGTGCCTGACATTTATGTAAATGCATATTTAAATATCAAATACGGCTCAAGGGTAAGAGCACAGCAACTAAAGTCAAATACAGAAGTAGAAGCAATTTGCTGATGAAATGAAATACCAAAGCGCGATACGCAATTAAACGCAGACACAAGACTCTGATAAGTGGGTGGGGGGGAGTTTGGGCATAGAGAAGTGAGAGGGCGAGAGCGTAAGTGGGCGCGATTGGGAGTGAGTGTATGTTAGTGTTGCGAATGCGTTATTTATGCTTAACATGACCCCCACCACCACTCTCTTTGAAAATGAGCTCATTTACATGCAATCACGTGTGGGAGTGAGTGTTTGTTGGTCTAGGCTTTTACCGCAACATATTTGAATGTAATTTATCAAAGCAAGGCAAACATGAAAAGGATAGAGAGTGAGTGAGAGAAGAGGGGCAAAGTAAATTACAAATATCAAATACATTTTTGAATGACACGCATGTTATGACAGTGCTGTTCACTTCAATATACACAAATGGTAAAAATTACGCGTAAGAGCGTTTAGAAATTAATGACTGTACTTTACCATTTATTATTGAAGATTTTGAAAAATATAGTAAAAATAGTAACTCTTTTATGAATTTAATTATGTTAATAATTTGAACTATAATAAAATGTTTAAAATGCAAAAAAAAAGTTTTTTAAAAATCAAATGTGTTTTTATTTTCAATAACATTTGAAAAGTCCTCCCTAAACAATTGACTAGCATTGTATTGTCTCTCACTCACCTTTGCTAATGCCGGTGGCCTTATCACGCAAAACATTTATCGAATGCACCGGGCCGTATTCCTCGAACATTTCGCGCAACTGCGCCTCATCCATGGATTTCGGCACCTGGCCAACAAACATTTTAATATTGTCCGGATCGGGCTCCTTTTCGCCGTAGGTAACAGTTATATCGCCGTCCATACGGAAGCATGTATCATCATCCATGCTGACAACAACATTGCGATTGGCACTGCACGGATTGTTGTTGTTGTTGCTGCTGCTGTTGCTATTCACCAGAGCGGCCGAGGACATGATGCCGTTGGTGGCAACGTTAACACTGCTGTTGTTGTTGCTGTTGCCGTTGGGATGATTGCAGAGCGAGCTTCCCAAATTGGAGCTGCTGCTGTTATTGTTGTTGTTATTGTTCAGTAGTGACGGATTATTGTTGTTGCTATGTATGGGACTATTTGGCAGGCTGTTGGTGGTGCTGCTCTTGTCGCTCATACCAAATGCACTGCAATTAAAAACCAAAGAGAGATAAAGAGAGCGTTAAGTAGAGCGTTGAGTAGGAACAAAAATATTAACGGTTAGAAACACAGTTTTACAGTCACGGCCTTTTTTACTTACTCCAAATACAAATCGGAACTCTTTTCCGAAAAATCAAAAATCATGCGGCGATTGCCCAAAAATGAATTGCGACTGCTAAACATATTTTCGCTTTTTACACTGTCGATTCGAATTGTCAAATTATTACAAATTCTTATACATATATATATATATACGTTTATATATATTAGGTTTAACTCAAACGTGACGTTAAACAGTTATTATGCCACTCAATAATATAAAAAAAAACTGACACTGACAAGTCTATGTAAAACTCATAAATTGCAATCAGCGAGCGAACACATCAAACAGTTTTTTCAAATATATAATTTTCGTAAGCGAGCTTAAAAAAATTCCATGTAACACTTGCGAGACACGGCAACAATTGATTTAAAAAAAAACTATATAAAAGAAAAGTAGGCAAGAGCACAAAATTTCACAGACACCCAGCGCCTGCTTCCTTCACTGACAATCGTCGACGTACAAATGGACGAGAAGGGCACAAGAATTTGACAGTCAGGGCATTGAAAATGCACCTGCGAAGCTTTGGTAGACACTATTGCTGGAGAGAGAGAGAGAGGGAGAGGTGAAGCTAGAGGCAGCACCAAGGAATTTATTTGTTATGGGAAGAAGCAGGACAAAGAAATCATTTCAAGATTGCGTTAGTTTGTTGTTGTGAGTAGCTTTGCACTGCAATTAACTGTAGTTTTGTTTAACCCTTTGTAAGCCCTTCGGTTGCAACTAGAATCTAAGTGTGAATTATTAATTATGATAGCATATTTCTGACTACGTTTTTCCACTTTTCTGCGGTATGCTGTTCTATTTCATTTATTGCATTTAAATGTTTCGTGCTTTAAAATGAAATTCCTTCGAATTCTTTTTAATCATTCTCTTTCGCTATTGCAATGCCAAGCTCTGCCTTTCAAATATGCAAATTACATTCAGCTTTTCATTTTTCCACATCAAGTTGCTTCTAATTAGCAAACACACCAACCGTTTTCCATTATCCATTTGTCTAATGCCTAAGTGCAGTCCACCCTCTGTTATCTTAACTCCATTTCACACACCCAGCCATTTAATCATGTCGCACCAGGTGTTTTAAGCAGCGCGGCAGCGCTTTAGTTGACCCGATTTTCCGGCTAAAATGTCTATTTACACAGACAAATGGCCATTACCTTAATGCTATGTGTGCAAAAAATCGATAAGTAAATAAGAAAATGAAATAAATGCATCTTTAAAGGCTTGCCTAGGCGATTATTCTTTAAATAGCTTGCCATAATCAACTCACCCAATTAATGGCATATTAGTTTTCAACCTATTGCTCTCCCTTTATTTTAATGTGTAACATTGTTGCGTTTTGCTTTGACTAATTTGTGTTTCTGCCTTTTGACATGGCTTCTCCTATTACGTACCCGCTTTCGCGCCCTCTTTCTGCCACCCAAGCACAGGAACACACACCCACTCTCCCAAAAACAGCTATGTATTCGCTCTGGTTACAACGTTGCAATTTAAAGCATGTCATGTTGTTTTTGTTGCTGCTCTGTTGATGCAGCTGCTCATTCCATTTTGCTTTCTAATTCTTTGGAAGTTTCACTTTTATGTATACACTACTTTGCTCTCTTTTTCGCAAGACTTTTATGCGTGCGTTTGTTTGTGTGATGCATTTTGTAATTTGAGTTTTTTGTTGTAGTTGTTTCAGCTGCGTTTCTCTGTTCTCTATACAAAAACTTTCAAACTTCCTCAGCCCACACACAAGTATGTATGTATATGTGTGTGTATGTACATTAAGCCCTCTCTTGCATTTATTAACCTTCTCTTAACTTTTGACTTGTATTATTCTTGAAATTTTCTTACGCTTTTGGCAAACTGCAGTTAGTTTTGAAGCTTTTTTTTTTTCCAAAATGGCTAGCATTTTTTAATTGAGTTGGGCAATAACATTTTTGAATACGGACTTTGCACAGTGACTCCAAAACTGTGCTGCCCAGCAAGAGAAAAACAACTGTTTTCACATTACAGTTGCAAACCTAGCGATGACACTAACTGTATGATATAAATATTTATAAATCAGAATTGAGAGAGTTGATTTTAACATCGTTATTAGGTTTCACGGCCATCAGTTTACAAATATTTAAATATGTATTTAATCAATTTGTTTCGCTCATGCGGAAATAATCAAAGCGTAGGTATATAAACGTCCATAATGGCCTTGATTTTGCAGTTCTATTTCGGACACCAAACCAGGAATTAAGATGAAATTCGCGTTGGCTCTTTTGAATGTGGCACTCTTGGCCATCGGCTTTGCGGAGGCTGGTCTAAAGATAGATCCGAGCCCACTGCTGCTTAAAGAATAGATACGCAACATTTGAAATATAAAATGTTACATTAAAGAAAAAGTATCTGAAAGAATAGCGCACCTAGCTAAAACAAATGATCTTAGTTATTTATTTAATTTAATTAAATTGGAATTAACTCTGAATGCCTAAGAAGTATGGCGAGCAGATGTACAATATTGGTGAGATAGGGAACCTCAGTAAGTAATCTCTTCCGGCCTTTGAAGAGACAACTTCAGATTTCAAGAACTGGTTTGGAAAACAAACTGAGTGATGTATTTCGGGAAGCAGAAATACTATTCAAAAAGAATTGGGATACTTTTTCAAGAAAAAGAGTGTTGTTGAAATAAAAATACTTTTGGAGAGGGAGATCTTTTCATTTTCTCTATAGACTTATTACATACTCTGAAATTATTTCCCATAACATTATAGTACATCTGTATTCTAATTGTGTTGCATTTCTTGATAGGCTTATTGGACAAGCAGATTCCAATCTAATCTGAAACTATTTTCATATATGCAATATATTCTTCCATATTTAAACCTTCAATTTCTTGCGACAAAATTTTAAAGGTCGAACGCGTGTAATTCGACACAGTTTACTGCATTCTACGCCCATTAACCACGCCTCACATAGAAGTATTGCTAAGCTGCCCTTTTGGGCCAATAACACATGCGATTGCGACGACAACTTTTTTTTTATATTATGTTCCCAGACTGGGGCACAACACAGGCAACAACATGCTGCACAGCAAACACTTTGAACTTGCATCACAGTTCAAACTATGTGCGATTTCTTCAACAAAGTGCAATTCATCTTCATCATGTTGCAGCAGCAGCAACAACAACAACAACAACAATGTTTCGAAAAAGTTGGCAACACTATCAAGTAACTTAACAAGACTATTGCATTTGTTTCGATAAACACACAAAAATCCAGTTACTGGCAATATGTCGAGCAGAACTTCTTTGGCTGCACTTTTCGCTTGCTTTAAAAATTTCGACAACTACAAAAAAAGGAGGAGAGGCAGAGAAAGAAGGAGAATTTACAGCTCGGAGCACATTTATCTTCATTTGTCGGGACGAGGCCGAAACCGAGTCCGTCCGCACCTCCTTGGTCCTTCGCGCACACAAAATGTAACCCAGCTGTCAACAATTTGCCGCCCAAATTGTCCGGGGAGGCGGCAAACAGGCAGACAGGGAGGGGGGCAAGTGACAGAGACAGAGATGGGGATAGACAACAACAAAGAGCGATGCTGCAACCACCGCCACTAGGAAAACTTACTAATTTTCTTGATTACTCTGGAGAATTATGAGCAACAAAGCGTGCGAAATTTGAAATCTATTAAAAAACTTTTTGCTGTGGCAAGCGGAATGGGCAGAAAATGAAACTCGGTGCAGAACACCGGGGGGTGGTGTTCCACAAATCTTATTCTTCTGCAGTGGCCTTTGATTGTTGTTGTTGTTGTTGTTGCTGACAGACAACGAAAAGTCAAACTTCTTAGCGACCCAACACAGCAACAACTCCAGGAAGTGGAAGCAAAGCAAAAGTAAAGTGTGTATCGAATGGAAAATAAGCGTGTTATGAAAGATTCCAAAATGTCAAAGTGCTGATAAGAAATCTTCTTGGTTTATATAATTGTTTGGAGTTATATATTAGAAAGACGCTTATATGATTATTGGGAATTTTGTATAAGAAGTTGTTGAGTGAATTGCCTAATTACTTAACAAAAGAACGAAATATTTTTCCAAGAAACTAAATGCATTAAAAAGTATGTTTTCATTTACATATTTCTTGGAACAGAGTGTTTCTAAAATTGATTTATAAATTAAAATAAATTGCTTTAAGATTGTCTTTAATTAGTTTCGTTGCACGTCTGATTAAAGAAAGTGTGTATCGAATGGATAATAAGCGTGTTTTGAAAGATTTTAAAATGTCATCTAAAGTGTTGACAAGAAATTACAAATTTTTTACAGAAGAAAGAATTTAAATATGGAAAATCTTTTTCTATGAAGAAAGCTAGTTTCCATGCAAGCGACATAAAGCCCATAAAACGTAGTTTTTTTTTTACATATTTCTTAAAAAGTGTTTACTCTAAAATAGATTTATGAAAATAAATTTTGAATTAAATGGAAATTGCTCTAAGGTATTCCTAAATTATATGGTGCTCCTAATTTCGTTACACGCCTTATTAACGAAAGAGCTCGTATTTTGCGTTCGCCTTTTGTTGGACTCAAAAAAAAAAAAAGCGCAGTATTCGAAAGAACGGCAACAACTTTGACAACAAAGCGTTGCAAGTTGGCTTACAGGGTGTGTAATAGTAGTGGAAGCTTGTTGTTGGAATGTGCAACTTTTTGCAGCCACTTGTTCCTGCCGCTTTGTCGTTGACTTTTCTTTTTGCACAAACACCAACTACCCGCCACCCAAGCAGCAAACTTCTAGTTGCGTTTGAATAAAAATATAGTTGAAGGTATACTATATAGTGGTAGTAAATAAATGTGGGATATACTTGACAACAAAAAACAAACTAAGTGACGAACACAATCATGTTTGACTTTTTGCTGCCAACTCTTAAAA